GCCCTCGACATGTGCGTGGATCCGCGCGGATATATGACGTCAGGATGGCGCAATTTGTTCTAAAAATAGAAAAATTGTCCCATATCATAGCTGCGCGCGGATCCCAAGACTTACGGTCTCCGTCCCCGATTATGACTCCTGGCCTAAAGTAGTATAGACCTCAGTACGAGGCTCTGGGGAATAACTACAGAGTTTGTGGGATTTATTCCCCAGAACCTTCGTGCTGTGCCCTCGTCAGCTATCACGCATAGAAATCGAGAGCTCATAATCTGATTGTTTTAGTATAAATCTAGTAGTCGTTCAAAATTTTATCTGAATCCTCTTCACAGACACTTCGAAAACGCTGAGAAGCGGCCGTCATTTTGTTAACAAGGACCGGCACTGCCACGCTACTCACTGTCTATCACAGAATAGATAGTGAGTAGCGNCGCTAAGAGTTCAACTCCAGCGGTGGAAAAAACGAGCTATGAGACGTGCAGCCGAGAAGCCGTGAAGAAAAAACAAGCATCAGCAGATCTTGAAAACGCGTGTCAACGTGATATGGTCGTTTTGCGGCGAATGCTGTTCTTTATGTCCGCAGTTGTTGTTGTCGCTCTACTGACTGCAGCTGCTGCTTTGTTGCTAGCTATATCAGCGATGAAGGGTAAGTATTATTATGCGTATTTACGAAGTAGACAAGTTCCATCAGTTAGAATATGTACAAGAAACGATCGGCTAATGGCGTTAATATATATGGATATTGGCCAATCTCCTTCGGTCAGGATGGCTGGACATTGGCCATCTCGACCGAACGAGCTTGGTCAATAAAGGATTTATTATATGGAAAAGAACACTATTTTTGGCGGGACACAGCGGGTAAGATATCACCATCTTGCCCGCTTGAGTAGCCGATCACAGCACAGGATTTACTTTATCTTGCCTACTCACGGAGCTAGGCATATAATAAATATATCTTATTGGCCAAGCGCCACGGCTGTACTGGGAGAATATCGCCCCGAAATACAAAAAAGATCAAGGGTCGATATTCTCCTAAGACGGCCCCGAGTAAGTTCGGCCGAAGATATTTGTTACACGACTGAAACTACCCGAAAATCTACAATAGTGATATTGCGGGATCATTCGGCACAGTGTCCGTTTCAATACCCTAGACCTCCGAAAGTAACGTCCCCCCCCCNAAGGAAGAAAAGCCGGCAAGGCAAGCAAAACAAAACCCCCCCCCCCCCCCCCCCCCGCCGAAAGTTTAATTTTTTACCTTCCTTTTGAACCCTGAAAGGAAAGGTGCCTCCGAAAATAGCAAGCCCACCCGAAAGTAGCGGCCCTTTAGAAAGTCTTTCTTCTCAAGCGCGGGTCATGCGGATGGAACAGCCTGAATGCAGGACTGAACATTGACTTGAAGAGTTATCTGTGATTTTATTTCGAACTTGACTAAATTTTTCTTCAAAGCTAAGAATGATTTATGAGCTGTGCTTGTCTAGCAGCAGTGTCAAATGATATACTGTAGGGTAATCTGTTGTATTGTGATATACTTTCACCCTACAGTACCAACCGGTTTAGGGCCTCTTTTTGTTTATACAGTCTGCTTTGTTTATGAGGGTAGTTGGAAACATACATAAATGGAATGTTTAATTTCTTGTGTTACGCGTCCGCTTTGTCTAAAACGACTATTACTGGAAAAACGTTTTTTAACCATCTGAAAGTAACCGCTATATGCATGGAAACGAAATCAGAGTCTAGCTGAGAGTGTTCCATTGAATACTGTAAGGAGCATGATGTGTTACGTGCATGGCTTGTCTTACCATATTTGGACAGAACATGTGCTCTCTAGTTGTATGTGTCTTACACGAAGTAGGAATTAAATAAGTTGAGCTGCATTGCAAATGGTGTCTTGCTGTGCCACCCGCATCATGATGCACCTTGTGAAGTGATACATGCAAATGTTTCAACGAGCAAACACGACTTGCTTCGTCAATACTTGTTGAATTTCGAACATAAAATTTGTTTTAATTAAACTCGTGGGTAGTTCAGTACAGTTAGCGGACCAAAAAAAAAAGTTAAAATTTCCATCTGCAGCCATCTTGATAGTAAGATGCCTTCCATTTGTCAGGCCAGCCAGTGTAGTCTTTCTTTCCTTGCACACAAACAAAGCAAAATCTCCGCCATTGTTGCCATGTGCGTAAAAATATGCGTAATTTTTTATAACATTTGTCTCATTTATTGATGATCAGGTACTGAGAAGAATGTGTCTTGTGAAAAGATCCCGGAGATAATCAATAACGTGGCATACATCAAAAGCGAAGTCAACAACGTCACGACAATTCTCAAGGTAAGCTCTCAAAGAGCTATACATGTAATCCAATAGATATGCCTTACCTTGCGCGGTGGCCTCATGGTTACTACGCTCATCTCCGGATCGAGCAGTCCGGATTGGAGCCCTGGCCAGGGACATTGTGTTGTCAGTGTTCTTGTGCAAGATACTTTACTTTCACAGTGCCTCTCTCCAACCAGGTTTTTAATTGGGTACTGGCGAAATTAATGCTGGAGGTAACCCTGCGATGGACTAGCATCCTATGCTGAGGGAAGTAGAAATACTCCTAGTCGCCACAGAAACCGGGATAAGCTCTGGCCTGGCGGGCCACTTGGCTCGTATGCAGACTTTACTATACTTATCTTTACATATTTGTGATTTCTGAACGGTAAAAATCGATATTCGCGCTCATGGAAAGTTTTCTTGAAGTGGCGCTTGCTTACCAAGGATCTGTGAATGACAAGGGAAGACTAAAAAATTAAAGTAACGATAATGTTAAAGAGAAGACCAAAATGAAGTAGAATAAACAAACAACTAAACAAACAAACAAACAAACAAACAAAAAAAAAAGGGTAACCCGTCCAGGGGGAGTTCAAATAATCGTTGTCGTTTCATGCCAAGAAAACCGGAGATAAGCGCCAGCCTGTTGGGCCAATATGCTTCACAAAAAGATCACGCTGCAATACGGCCTGTCTATCAGTCGAAGGTCTTAAAGTTTGATAAGGCTAAAGTAATTACCTCGAGTCGATGGCCTTCAATGAATTCTCAGACTAAGCAATTCTTTGAGAGTGATGTTGTTTCACACTCAACAATAAGTAGAACCTCTGATCTCACCTTTCATTTTGCAAGGATTGCTTTCCAGTTTCCGCGAAAAAAATAGGCAAATGAAGAAACAGCAGTTCTACGAATGTCATATGTATTCTATTTCTTCAGGAGCCATAATCAGGGACGGAGACCGTAAGCCTTGGGATCCACGCGCACCTATGATATGGGACAATTTTTCTATTTTTAGAAC